CCCTCCCCCCTACTATTCTTAAGTATATTAGCCCCATCCTTCTAATACCAAACCACTCATGCAGTTGCATTCTTGATGTCATACTCTTTACTGCAGGAGACCTGGAGTGAACTCATGTAGTCAACCCATAGTATATTATTCTGTATTTTAGATGCCATTTGTAACTTTATGAATAAAAGCATTACTTCTAAAGTCTTCAATGCCTCCGATTCGTTAACTATCGATGAATGGTTGAATGGCGTGTTTGGAATCCAAATTGATGTTCAGGCATAATGTTTTCGTTCGTTAGTATGTCAAATGTGTAGAGTAGTTTCTCAAAGATTTTAGAACATATTGGGAACAAGTCGATTGCTCTGTATGATGGAGAGAAGTCGTTATTATAGAGTTTGAAATCCTTTATCTTCTTAAGATTTTACTTTACTCAGTCTTGTCTCTTCCTCCTTAATATACTTTACTTTTTTAATAAATATAATATAAAAAAAAAGTTTAATAAATTTTAATTTTCGATCCACTGTGTGGTGTGGCGTGATATTGACAAGAAGGGTTTCGCGGTCAGCATGACATTGAATAAAAGGAAACCATAAAATAATGAAATGTAATAAGTATATGGATCGCTAAGGAAATTTTATTTAACATCAACGACCACTATAATGACTATTTATCTTCACATCATTAGCGGATCCAGGATTTAATTTTTTTTGGGGGGGGGCTTCAGCCCGAAAGATTTTTTTTCGTCATATACATATAACGATAATTAATTTGAAAAAAAGAAAGAAATTAACTACCTATATGAAATGGTGTTTAAGTGGTTCCTGAAGTCATATTAAATGTAGTTGCAGGATCAAGAATACTTTAAGAGATAGTTTTTAATATTTTTTTCTGTAAAACATGGTTATATTTTACCATTTTGGGGGGGGAGGCTTCAGCCCGAAAGCCCTCCCCCCCCCCGTAGATCCGCCTTTGATTCACATTATGTTCTAATTGGTGATTCTATACATTAAAGTCAGAGATGGAAAATCCTTGTTTAGGCGACAATATACCTTACAAGGTCTGAAATGTAAAAAAAAAAAAATAATTATAGTATCGAGTTTAATTTATCACGAATTCTTAATATATATTGAAAAAATTAATTATGGAATAATATCAATATATGACACTATTTAAGATTTTGATTAATGATGACAAACTTCATAACGCTGGGTTTTTTGGAGTCGTTTAATGTGTGTGGAACCCAACCTTCAACCTTTTTTCCCTTTCCAATCGCCTTGAGGTGGTGGTCATTGACAGTCGATTTTCTAAGGTTAAGTTTCCCTGTAAGTTCTTGAAAAGTTGTTCTGCGGTTTCCTTCCACCAATGCCCGCAGAACATCGTCTTCAAGAGAGACTTTGTCTTCAAGGCTGAAGTCACCCTCCCGAAATTTTTTTAACAGTGCATTCATTAATACTGCTCTCGCATCATACTTGATTGGTGTTTCTGGCCGTCTGGGTTCAATTCCGGCCGAGTTTAAACTCGTAAAACAAGATTATACGAAAATCACTTGTTAGCAAAGACTGAATTCTTTCTGAGCAGCGAAATACTACAGAGGTAAACAGACATTATCCCTTGGAAGAGGATTAAGTATTGGTATTCAGACAAATGAATAATCCAGTAAACGTAAACAGTTTGTTATATAGAGAGGAATTTTAAAGAAAACTCAAAACCGTGCATTATTTTCCGGATAACCCATAATATTGTAATAAACTGGACATTGAGCTATTCCTTTGTTATCCCTTCCCCCCCCCCTCACATGCATTGAACATTGTTATCAGGTAATCTTACCCCAAGGTTAGTGAAACACCTAACAAACAAGTAAAGCAATTATTTAAAATTAATGATAGTAATTTAATAAAAAAATTAAAAACCACCATGAAACGAGAGGTTGGTGCTTAAATGGTTTTAAACATAGAGCATAAAGAATGTTGTATCCGATTTGTTATTGAATTGTACACATATTTCCAAATCCTTTTCCCTGATCGGTTCTCGATTTAAGTTTTCAATATTTCCTAAAAACTTGCAGGTCATCCGAAACAAAAGTATGTTATAAATTAAATGCCTTAATGGCTATATTATCCTACGTATTAGCCCAGGAGCCAGGGCCCAAAAATCGACCTCATCGCAGGCGAAAGTTTGATTGTAAATTACGAAAGTGTATGTTAATCTGAGTAAAAAGAACCTTATCTGAAGTTCCAAAGCCACTGCTTTCAAAAATGGTGGCTGACCAAAAGAATATTAAGCCTGTAATTTGAGGATCGAAACGGGAAAAACATTGCGAAAAATGTGAGAAAAGTTTTTATTTTTTTAACTCCTATGTATATGTTTAGATATGTAAAAAACAAAATTGCTAAAGCGGGCCACCGAGGGAAAACTTTTTATAATAAAAAAAGTCAGATTTTTCCGATTTTTTTTGTTTTTTTACCTATTACTTCTAAACGATAAATAAATGCGAAAGAATTTTTCTTAAATTCTTTAATAAATTACAGAACGTTAAATTGTGCGTCAAACGAGAACATAAACTTTATAACTTGGTTACATGGTAAGGTACTCCAGGATTAGCGGATCCAGGATTTAATGTTTTTTTGGGGGGAGGGGGAGATAAGGCTTCAGACCGAAAGGTTTATATATATATATATATATATATATATATATATATATATATATATATATATATATATATATATATATATAACGATAATTAAACAAGAATATTTTACCATACTGGAGGGACTTCAGCCCGAATTGTCCTCTCCCCCTCACCTTAAAACTGGTACTCACTGGATGCAAAATCTGATGCTCTACAACTGTGATCATTTTATGAGTTTTTCCTCTTAAGGAGGTCATTTCCGAGTAGCAGGGCCATTTATAGTCATTTATCTCAGTTTTTGACAAATTTGGTAAAAATCAGCTTTGGCTGTTCGTGATTTTATACCTTACCACGTAACCAATTATAAAATGTATATATTCGTTCGTCGCACAATTTAACATTCTTTAATTTATTAAAGGGTACATTTTTCGCTTTGATGGTTCGTTAAGGAGTTATAGGTGAAAAAATATAAAAATGTCGAAAAAAAAATGCCTTTTTTGGCTGTTAAAAGTTTTCCCATGGTGGCCCGCGTTAGCAATTTTATTTTTTACACGCCTAAGCCTATATATACAAGTTATAAAAATTAGAACATTTTCTCACATTTTTCCATTTTCCATTTCGATCCTAAAATTACTGGCCTAATACTCTTTAGATCAGCTGCCATTTTTTAAAGCGGCGGTTCTGGAATGGCAGACAAGGTTCTTTTTACTCAGAATAACACACAGTTTTGTAATTTACAATCAAACATTCGCCTGTGATGAGGTCGATTTTTGGGCCCTGGATCCAGGGCTATATTAAATTACATTAACCTTATGCTATTACATTTAAATAAATATAAAAGATTCTAAAAAAAGAAAAGATACCTATAGTCGGCCCAACAATTAAACTGGGAGTGGTTTCTAATCAAACTAAATCCATTATAGGTGCGCTTCACATTAAATTAATGTGGTAAACGTGAATTGAATTGAGTTAGTGAAGACTTTGTTCCGGACAAGCAATCTCCTCCAGCAATTCGTAAACCCTAGTCACAACTTATCCGTCTGTGGTCCCGTTCTCCCAGCAAAGTTTCATCCTTGTGGTGTGCTTCCTTCCATCACTAGATAAAAATGTACATTTCACTTTCTATTCTATCTTGTCACTCAACATGTTTTTGTTTTTGTAACTAATTAATACAGATTAGATTACTTACATTATATATTTGTATAAAAAAGAAGAGAGGTAGGTATCTAATTGTAACCTAAGATTGTATCAAAGAAAACAATTATCGTAATAAAAAAAATCTTTTGCGGTATCACTAAACATGTTAACATTTTATAGCTTCATGAAAATCTGTTATTGGTGTTAAAGGATGGGGACATTTTTAAAAATTTAATTTATTTTAAATATAGTATATTTTTTTCTGAAATTTATTGTTTATTCCTTATTTTTATTTATTTTTTCTATATTGCAAAGGGAGACCTGTTCCACCACCTAGTATGAAAATAAAATAAATAATAATTTGGAACCGATTTAAACTTTTCAGTGGAGCCGCACTTATCTCAAAGTTTTATACATATAAACATTAAAGAGTATTCATTCAACAGTATTCATTCATGAATGAAGGTCAGATGGTAAATCTTGGCCACGAAATATCTACTTCTGCTCATCTCCGCGCCATCTGTCAATGAAATGCTACACTAAAATTCTAATAGTGGCAATAACCTACTACAACTTTAATGCATTTTATTTTTTAATTATTTTACTTTCTATTTTATATACAAATATGAACATATATTTTATTTGTATTTTCAGGATTCGTGAAGATTGAAAGCTATATTAATTACATCGAGTATTTTATTGAATATTTCAAGTCTAACTAAAGTTTTCCCCAACATATTATTTCCTAAATCTAATTATCTTCAAAATCTCCAAATAATTAGTCAATCTATGTCTTCATTTGGTAAAATAGTAGATTTTGTAGTTTACCTTATCTACACTAGTAAGTTAAATTAGTTAATGATTTATTTTTTATTTGAATTAGAGATTATCAGTGAAATTAAATGTTCAGAAATCCTCAACACTATAGAATATATCTATTCGTCTTCTATTACAAAACAATCATATATTGTAGAATCGTTTCTAGATAATGAAATTAAGCATAGTTACTGAAACGAATAAATCTGTGCTCATATTTAAATTAATTGACAAACGAAGAGCAAGATAGAAGAATGAAGAAAAAGAAAAGAAAAAAGTTAAGCAATTTATGATGAAGAATATGAAGATAAAAAGAACACCTTAATTAAAAACTCTTGAAAGCTTTGCAATTTTTTTTTTTTTTTTTTTAAGTCTCGCTTTTCTGTTGATATCTTCACCCTAGTTTGAATAATACTTTACTAAGAAACTCATAAATTAAAATGTCAAAACCATAAGTTAATAAACCTGTTTCTTCTTTAAACTACTGTTATTTTTTCTTTATATTTATTTTTCATCATTCAAATTACATTTGCGATCGAGAGAGCATAGTAGTAGGGGAGCCGCCATTGCACGATATAAATGGAATTTAGGCCTTGGAAGGTAAGGTTTGGTGTTATAGTAAATGATTCACTGAATGTTTATTTCAATGTAGTATTTAAAATGTAAAAACCGTAAGTTACATGTAAATTGTTTATTTATTCCATCAAGAATTTTCATGGCCATAAAAAATTTGCCAACTCGAACCCCGTCCTAGATAACTTCGCCAAAATGGCTACGTTGACATTTAATTAAGTACGAATTTCATCCTTTTTTTAATGATTAATTGGCTATTTCATTTTTAAGAACTATTCAGTGTATTTCAAAAGAATAATATTGACTAGTGATAATAATGTTTATATCCTGGTGTACACGTGATATCACCTGAAATACCAATTCGCCAAGAGGTGAATGACCTGTTTTACTGATGTTAAGAGCTCTATCACCAAATAATTGTCAGTCTTTGGTATAATATTTTAAACATAAATATTATTTATGTTATTATTATTTTTTATTTGGCATATGATTTTAATGTTCATATTTTGTGTTTTCCAGGTTACCCAAGGAATCCTTTAATGATGGAACAAGAATTTTGCCTGAGGTGGAACAACCATAAATCTAATCTTACTGAAGTACTTTCAAAGTTTCTTGAAAAGGAATCCTTAGTTGATGTTACTTTAGCTGTAACTTGTGATAATGATGATTTTAAAACATTCAAAGCTCACCAAGCTATACTTTCAGCTTGTAGTCCATATTTTGAAAAGTTATTCTTACAAAACCAACATCCACATCCCATAATCTTTTTGAGAGATGTTACTGCTGTTGAAATGCAAGTATTATTACATTTCATGTATAACGGTGAAGTTAATGTTAAGCAAGACGAACTAGCTGGTATACTTAAAACTGCCACAGCATTGCAAATAAGAGGATTGGCTGATTCAAGGGATAGCCAAAAGTCTGATGAATCACAAGTATTTGAACAGAATTCTAGACCGTCTCATGATAATAGAATTACAAGACCTTCCTCTCCTTCTGAAAGGCGGAAAAGAAAATTGTCAGGTGGTTCTGATCAAGCTGGACCATCATTTCAAGGCTGTACTTCAGAAAAATTCTCTCCAGAACCTCAGGTATTTCCCTCTACCATGTTACTAGTGCCTGTTTTCCATTAGAATTTACTGTACCAGTTTTTTCTTCCAAAATATAACTTTAGTTTTGTTCAGTGCCCACAATGTGTATTAAGGCAGTGTAATCGTGTTTCAGGCAAACTTTTCCTCCTCAGCTCCTCATACACCACAGTCTCAATCCCCTGCTAAATTTCTTCATTTGTCTTCCTCAGAACTGAGTGACCCAAATGTACCTGTGATTAAACATGAAGCTGTCCAGCCTGATGAAGATTCATTTGATGAAGCTCAACATGTAGTAAGTAATTTCGTTATCATTAATAATAAGTACAGTTGTCATTGACCTCCTGATTAGCAAGGTATTGAAAAATTGTATATATGTTCAAATATTAAGAAACTTTTAAAACTACGAATGAACAACTTAATGTGGAAGAACTATTAAGTATAATCTTTAAAGCACTAATATACTTTTGTTTTTATTTGATTGTCTTTGGGGAATCTTTTGTATCAGGGCATGATTTGATAGGCTTTCCTTCACTGAGTGGTTATTGAATTTATAGTTATTTTAATTGTCATGTTAAATATTTGTAAGATTCGAGAATTCCAATATATAATTGGTCAATAATTAGATAGTTTACTTCATTTTTCACAGTTAATAAATTCTATTTATCATTATTATTTAATTTATTAACTGCTAATATTTGTTCTGGAGGTTTTTCTATCTGATCTAGGTAATACTATAATAATATGTACGGATGACAGGTGAGCCACAAGCACTCTGTCTTAAAACGCCAAAACAAGCCAAGTGTGTCCAAAAGTGTATCTCCAAACACATGTGTTTATATATGATCTTAGAACGGTCAAGCTTTCAACAAATTTACTGTTTCATTTGTGAAAAATTCGTGTTTGAATTAATTATTTTTGTTTAAATAAGTATTTGACTTCAAATGTCTTGGGTGTTGATTTTCTTAACCAGTATTGTGTCAAACATATATTTATTGAATCTTAGTTGTCAATATTTATTTTCATCTACCTGTTTTGAAATTATATTTCTACGAATATTGTTTGTGCTTACATATGATATACTTCTCAACAATTTAAGTTGGATAAAATATAATGGTAATTAGTCAAAATGTTTGTTTTGTTTTTTTCGGTCCAACTTTAGTTTAATAAAAAACTTTTGGAGTTTGCTATGGGACATGTTTTATTAATTTGAAATTATCAAAATTTAATATGTTTATTGCATTCATTAGGCATTAGAAAAGAAATACATTGAAAATAAAAGTTTAAAAATATAATATTTAAAATGATACTTATCCTGTAAAAATATTTCACCGCAGTGTCATCAATTTTTGAAATTTTAAAATAAAACTGAAGTCATATCTGCAAAATTTAATGAATATGAAAGACAGTTAAGAAATCATAAACATATTTCTGACCATCATATTACTAATACTTTTAAATTTATTTATTTTTGTTTTTTGTGCATGTTGAAATCTCAATGATCAATAAAACTCAAGAATTTTAATTATATTAACAAATGATTCTCATCAATGCCTATTACTAAGTATTGTACATAAATAATCAGTATTATTTTTATAATTATGATTCCTTTAATTCTAAGAAATTCATATATTTTCCAGTTAAAATTGTGAATTTCCTAACAATTTTGAGACAAAATTATTGAAAATGATTCTTTCTTAATATGAAATTGATTATGATGAATAATTATTTCAATTGTTTTTGAATTAATAAATTGTTATCACTCCTTCATATTCAGTAACTAACTCTGTTGGTTTTATTCATGAACTATACAACCCCTAGAACAAAGTCTAACTAGCAACCGTTAATTTAATTATCTAAGGTACTTAGATGAATTACAAAATTATTTCCTCCAAAAGTTTGCTTATCTCGAAAAAATTTATGATGGTGTAATATCCTCACTCTTTCTATTTTCATTGCCATATACACTCTTTTTCATGACTGAACATCTAACTGTTAAAGAAAGTATTGACTGGTTGAATCAAAATATTCATCAGTATTAAAATTCTGTTCTTAAACTATCTATTAGCTGAACTTTTATTGGATTAATTTCCTCCTTCAGTGATAGGATCCTTTCTTACTTATGTTTCTCTCTTTAAAAATGTTTTAAAAGTGTAAAGCTACATTTTACATTAAGAAAAATGACAACTTCTCCTATAGTCCAGTTAATGTATGATTATAAAAGGAATTTTTGTTGAGGACGGATATCTCGGAAACTAAGCGAGGAAGTGAAAAAAGATTTATAATTAATCATATTACAAATTTTATCAGCTTTAGTTTTTTATAGAACATCTTTGTCAATGCGATGGATCATTTTACTGATATAAGTTAAAATCCGAAAAACAGCAATAAATATGAGGCAAACATTTTTTTTTTTTTTCAAAATTAGCTATAGGTGAGGACAGATATTTCGGAAACTAAACGAGGTAGCAAAAAAATGTGCATAAGCGAAAATCCGAAAAAAGTGACCTACTAGTCAACTTCTCCTTGGAGATTCGCTGTGTGAACTACATATACATTTCTTTTTTAAATATTATGTGTACTAATGTGTAATTGATTCTTAGGTAAACTTAAAATTTTGTTGTCTCTTTCTTTTTAAATATCTTTCTGTAACATTGACAGTACAATATAGTTAATCTATTTTTCTATCAAAATATTTGCCCAACTTTTAATCATGAAATATTTTTCTTAGATCAGTCATGATAGCCATTTTTTTACATAATATTTAATTATTTCTTCTATATTTTGAAACTATTAATTTATCAGCATTATTTAGACATTATGTAATTTTAAAAAGGAATATATTTATATCAGATTGCTTGTATGAATACATTAACTAAATTAATTGATTTTAAACCTTCCATTCCTTGTCTGACTCTATATTTTATAAACATATGCAGTTCAAGGTTACATCAGATAAGTTAGTAATTGATTCATTATTATCAATCTGTGTGGTTAACCAATTGTTGTATTAGAAGCCGTGTGCTGATTTTATGTTTATTTAATTGTTCTTGTTTTGTTTTTTTAATGTTTAAATTTAACTGTTACATTAGCATTTTGTAAGTGGGCAGCAACGGTTTCTACCTTCTCTTTGTTGGTTTCTACCATTGAAGAGAAGTAAATATTAAGGATAGAACCAACTAATTGGTGGAATGTATATGTTGACAGACGGAATTGGAAACCGTTGCTGGCCCAGAGCGGAGCAGCGAACCTCATGTGATGTTGCGGCAGTACCTGGCGACTCGCCAGACCAAGGTAGATCTTCCCAAACTTCCCCCACCACAGTTCTCATCACTAAGAGTCAGGCCCCCTCCTCGGCCACAAGAAATCTCTGTTATTCAATCCTTAGGCAGTGGAGTTGGAAAACCAACAGTGAGCATACCTGTAACTCCTAGGAAAGGTGGTAGATTTCGTCCTGGCTGGCTTGATAACTACTTCTGGCTCCAGTATGACGATCAACAGAATATGATGTTCTGTAAGTACTGTAGAAAATGGAGTGGCTCTGTCCCTGACATGAGAACTTCATTTGTTGAAGGAAATAGTAACTTCAGGCTGGAAATAGTTAACCATCATGACAGGTGTAAATCTCATCAGTTATGTATGGCTAAAGAAAAGGATGCAAGTGAACGGATTGGGACAGATCTCACAAAGCTTGATCCTAGACCTAAGTCTCCACCTGAATGACCCTGCTTATAATCAGCTCAAATTTTATTTTATTCAAATGATGGCTTAATGTTTTTACATTAAGAGGTCTTCTCAGGGTTTATGTTTGTATTGCATAGGTAGTAACTTATCTTTTTACTCTTCTAGCTCAGTTGTTTAAATGCGAGATTTTGTTTCAACTTGTATTAATTTTATTGCTTGAATTATTAATGTTTATATGAAGAAACAAACCTCAAAAATGTTTAAAAATTTCATTAACTTTCTGAATATTGATTTTAATCCATAATTATAAACTGCCAGTTTCTGTATATTTATTATCACTGTTATAAGTAGAAATTAATCTGTCTTAAGAATAATCCTGTTGAATCATTCTTTCAAAATGTTAACAACTGTTCTATATTAGCTAAAGGGTACCAATTCATAGATAATAACAAAATACATATTTTTAAAATACATTATTTTCTTTATTGATTTTAGCAAGAAGGAAATTAACTAGGTCCAAAATCTATTTGGATCAAATTTTATATTTTCTGAATCAAGTTTTGCTCAAAGATATTAAAACCTATTGAAAACTATTTTTGATTATTTTGGGCTGTTGGCATTGTATCATTTAAGAATTGAAGAGTAAGGCATCGCTAGTCCTCGTATTTTTGTATTTATTAGGAGGCTTTAAACTCATATTTGATTATTTTAAAAACAAACAAAAATGTTGATGTTATACATATTGTAGAAATTATATATTTTTCAATAATTATTACCTATTATATTTAATATTTTTTAAAATAATGTTATTATTCTGTATGTAAGGCAATATGGCTGATGAAAGTGTGTTGTATAGCTTTGTGCCATTTCTTTTGAATAGAAGTAAATGCTATGGAGTTTAGGCTGTGATTGATCAACGGAGCTAAGCTCTGTTAGGAATGATATATATATTAAGAAATGGGTTATCTATGATTTATAGTAGAGGGTTTTTTTTTTTTTTTTTAGGAATGACAAATTTTTTTGATAGTTTTTAAGTCTTTAAAATGTTTAAGATGAAATTATTTTTAAATATATAAAATTTCATCTTAATAGTTTTAAATATATAAATTCAGTTTTATGGAATTCAGGGTATCTTTAAGAATTAAACTAGCATAGCCTTGAAGCATAAACTTCATATTTTGTTTTAATCACACTTTTTCTTGTTATGCATTGTACATAAGCTGTTACTCTAATGGGCATATTATAACACAGGTGAGCCTTCTAAATGACAGCTTAATGATAAGAATTGTTTCCATATTTTTGTTTATGAATTTATTTTTTTTTTTTTAATATTGAATATTGAGTCATTTGTTATACTAAACTAAAGGCATTATGTAAGAGATTTTTAATGTATGACTAAAATATTACATGTAACAATAGAATAGATTTTTTTCAGTGCGTTTATACTCTGAAATCTGTTGAATAACACTATCAAGAATGTGCTAAAAATAATAGCTCTTTAACAAATCTCATGTCATTATTAGAAGGGATTTTTAAAATAATTTGACAGATATTTGGAATGAAATATTCACAATGATGTTCACTTTGTTTTGTCATTGCTTAAAAGTCCTG